AGAATCAGATGACCCTAGGACCTCACCTTGTGCCCTGCAGTACCTGGCCATCTGCTTAATAAAACCTGCAGCCTACTTAAGTTCCTGCACATCTAGAGAACACCAAGCATGACTTCTCCTTTGTGGAAGTTAATGATTAAAACCTTGTCTGATCTAAAGCATCTAACCATAGTTACTAATTAAGCCAATTTCTGTGAGAAAAGACATTTCAAACAAAAGAGTGTTCTTTTAAGCTAAATCTATAGGCCTTCAAATTGTAGTAGCATAAACTGTACAATTATAATATTTTAAGTCTGCTTATAAATATTTCGTAATACAATACTTCAACCTCTGTAGCTTTGTATTTTCTTTTCCTTGCATGCCTCACGCCGGGCCATGATAACATGGTTTTGTAACTTTTGTGGGGATGAATTTAACTAAAATAACTTCACTTGGTGTTTGAGTGAACAAGGTAATAAAATCTGTTTGCTGTGTTCGCTGTCTCCAGATAGGGCTGTAATTACACCACATAAGGAAGAAAGGTAGCTGAGTCTAAATCTAGATCATTTATGTAAACTCAGCCTTCTTGTCAATGGTGCTCTCATATTGCATGCATGCAAACCGCAAAATCATCTCCTATGAACCACACAGAGACAGTGTCCGATTGCAGGCCTGTGAGATTGCTTATATTCTTTCTGTAACTGGATGTCTGTGGTCCAAGACCAAAATTTGACATTCTGAGGTTTAAAAAAAGTATTGCCAATGAACTCCCCTGTACAATTATATATCTGAAGCTTTTAAAAATTAAAAGTATTTTCTATACAAAAGTATTACAAATAATTACATTTTACTTGAAAAAAGTATCTTGTTCAGCTTTTCAAAAAAGTTTGGTGCTTTGAATGTATTTGAATAAACACTTGGTCTTCAAGAAAGAAAAACAGGCAATTTCTACTACAACCAAGTTAACATTTGATAACATTTTAATTTCCTACTTCAAATAATCGGCATTTTTTCCCCAGATACTCCCCCTCCCCAAATCTTACAAAAATATGAAACACAAAGTATATTCACACTGTATCTATAAATACAGAGACACAACTGCAAGAAGACAAAGCACATTTTTTTTTCTTAATCACTAGCTTTTGCTTTGACAGTCCCCCCTGGCAGGCATCGACAGTGTTCCCCTTGACACCTGCAGCTTCCAGCTTGCTCGGTCCTCTCTGGAAGGAAAACCGCAGGCCACCGCCCTGGCGCCGTCCCTGCCTGGTCCAATCAATAAGGACCTATTTCCTGTCCATTTGCTGAGGTCACAGGAGCGAATCTCATTAATTATTTCTGCTACTGCGGCCTCAAGTGTGCTTCTGGCGTGACAAGTAAAAACTGCTTGACCTTTTTTCTTTCTAATTTTGTTTGTAACAGTTCCAAAAAGAAGGCAGTATTCATTTAACAACGTGATAAAAGGAAGGAAAAAATGTGTAGGTTTTTAAAGTCATTAACAAATTTAGATATTTCATTATGAAAGCTTTCCCGATCACCTCATTCCTCAATTTTTCCACCTAATGAACAACAGTGTCTTTTTAATTTGGTGTCACGAAAATCTGGTCACGGCAAACACAATGTTTTCTAAAGCAGATCTGGCCTCCGAGGGAGGAAAGCTCTCCAGGGCCTCCAGTGCCTTGTTTCCATGGTAACGACACAGGTCAATAGCTGAAGTCACACCTTTGCCAGCTTTGATTGTTTCTCGCAACTGTTAAGAAACAAATGCACGATAAAAGTCAGTTTTTAAGGTACCGCAATTAAATTGGGGAGGGGAGGTGAAAAACAAAGAAGGGAAGAAACAGTACAGATCTCTCGTTTCTGCTACATTCTTTTGAGGTAAAGAGGACATCTTTCCCCAATGCTCTAGAGGCACTAACATCCCCTAAGGCTGCTCCGTGTCTGTGCTCCAGAGGAGCACAATAGGCTCCAATCAGCCTAATTACGCCTCCTCCCTGAATCCCACCCCTTCATATTTTGAAATGTGCCCTACTGGGGGATGGCAGAGGGCATTTACATCTCTGGCATTTTGAATTCGGCAGCCTGATATTCTTATGCGAGGAAGGCTTCATTAGCATCCTAGTTAATAACTTTTTTTTTTTTTTTTACACAGTATGTTGACACAATACTCCATACGAAAATTCAAGATACTATATTTTTAAAACTACAAGTCTTTATTTAGGAAGAATGAACTACAATACCCTATGTAAAGAATAAAGTAAGCTCTCACAACAAAGGGAGTTGATTTCCAATTCCTCTCTTTGATGACACGAAAGAACCGATAAAATGGTTACACTTTAGAGCTGAAAAAGATCTATAATAATTTGGTCTGTCCATCTCCCCCTTGCCCTGATTTCATCTTCTCTTTCTCAGTGAATACCTCGAATGTCTGCCTAATTCCCCAAATCAGAAATCTGGGAGCCCTCCCTCATCCTTTATCTGGTCAGGCACCATGGCAGTACCAGTGTTGCTTACCCATGATTGAACTTTCTGGCCCCTGGAGACCGGTTGGGGGCCAAGTGATAAGTTCTAGTCCATGAGTTGTGAATGATGCATGTCGCTCTGGGCTGTAGCATGCAACTGTCTGTGTAGTCCCTCCAGAGCTTCTCCTCTGGCACATCAACCAGCCACAGTGGAGGAGCTCCTTAGTCTGGACTCCAGAGCCACCACAGTGCCTTTCCAACCCGCACCTGACATGTGTGCTAGAAACACATCTTTGTTGTTTGAAGCCACAGAGATTGAGAAGTTGTCTGTAGCCATCTTGACTGACACAGTCACTAAGTCCCAGCCATTCTACCTCCTTTAGAGCTCTTGAATTTATCCTCTGCTCTTCATTTCTGTTGCCACTACATTAGTTCAGATGATCTTCATCTTTCGTCTGGATTATTTTTTGCAGTCACCTCTTAAAGAGTCTTCCCACCACCAGTTCTGTGCCCCTGGACTCTATCGGTTTCCCTTTTTCATCATGTATCTAGGGAAACTACTTACAGCTCTCATCTCCCCTGACACTATCTTCATCCCTGCCTCCAAGTTCCCCAAATTCCCTTTGGGTGGAATGCGCTCAGTTAGAATGACAGCCCCAAGGGGCCAGGTGCTACTCCTCGATGTTCCTTGAGGACCCTCTCCATATCTGGAGTACAGCACTATTATAGTGTTGTATTTTAATTTTTCATTCACTTATCTATCTCTTCATTAGACTTTAAGCTACTGCATAATGCATGAAACATAAAGGAATAAAAGAAATAAACTGTTTTATTCCTCTAATTACAGAGATCACAGAACAGAGGTCCAGAGATGCTTGGTGGCTCACTCAAGACTGTATATGAATCGTGGCAGAGACCAGAAGCCAGTTTCTTCTAACACCCAGCCCAGCAACGCTTAATATTATACCACACCAGACTCTCAGCACTCCACAGAAATTTCCACATTGCATATGAACTTTGGGACTCTTTCAGCCTGGGGTTCCCTGGCTTCTTCCCAATCAGTGAATGTAGAAAGATACTAAAATGGTGCTGGGTTTCAGAAGCAGCCAGATTCAAACTCTCATTCTAGCTTTGTAATGGTAGGGAAGCCATTTAACTGCTTTGAGTTCTAAATGGAGATAATATCAGTCCCTTGTAGAACTGTTGAGGGGACTATATGAGACAGCAGAGTGCTTGACAGTGCTAAAGCACTACAGATGTTCAGGATGACTTACTTCTTCCTCTTAGAGCCCTTAGCCCCTGCCAAGATAGCCACCCCACCTACTAAGATCACATCTATTTTAGCTCGATGTACAACGACCTCAAAGTAGCTGAATTTGGATCAGACCAGCCTTAAAGATTAAAAAAGAAAAGAGAAAAGAAAGACATGCCCCACATTTTCATTATCTTTACTTTCCCCAAATCTAAATTAGACAGGCCAAAATTCTCTATTCTAGACTTCTTGGTTGGTAGTTACAGGCATATGGATATCTGCATGACTGGATTTCAGTTTGCAAATATCAATTGAGCACCTATTATGTGTAAAGAGTACAATGATCCTTCTCTAGTTTATGGATCAGGAACTAATTAAGAGTATACTGTGAAAAGCAGCAAAACCAAGGTACAAACGTAGGAGTATAGATGATCAGAGAAATAAGAGATCAACTGTAATTAGAAGAGATTCATGAAGGCCTGACCAAGTAAGTAGGATTTGAGGCATGTCTTGAGAATGTTGATAGTTATTATGAGGTTTGGGGTAGCAAGGGAATTATAGGAAAAGAGAATAGCTTTTGACATGAAAAGCAATGACACAGAGGAGACCAGAATGCAGTTTCCAGGAAATGAAAATAGACCGGTGTGACACAGCCTGCAAGAGTAGGTGTTCGGGGATCAAAGAGGGCACTGAAAACCAGGTTAAGCAATCTGAACTTTATGAAAAAATGTTTTATTATCAAGTATTTTATTATTATTTTTTAGTTTTGTCCATCCACCTGCACCTTTCTCTTTAAGCCCAAAGACTTTTGGTTGACAGAGACAGTGGACAAAGGTAGAATTATCAAATATTTTAAAAGTATAGAAAAGTTAAAAGACTAGAACAAGAGTGGCCAAACTATGGCTGTTTGTATAAATAAAGTTTTGCTGGAACATAACCATGCTCATTCAGTTAAGTATTGTCTATGGCTGCTTTTGTGCTATAATGGCAGAGCTGCAGAGTTGAGTAGCTGCCACAGAGATTCTATGGCCTGCAAAGCCTCAGTATTTATACTTCGGCCTTTATGAGAAAAGTCTGCTGACTCTTATACTAGAACAATGAATATCCTCTACCTAGGTTTAACAATTTTTAGTATTTTGCCACTTTTACTCTATCTACCTGAGAGAGAGAGAGAGAGAGAGAGAGAGAGAGAGAGAGAGAGAATGTGTGTGTGTATGTGTGTGTGTGTGTGTTTTCTGAACCATTGGAAAATAAGCTGGCAGCAGTAGTATGCTGGTAAATTAGCTCTCCAGCGGAGGAAAAAAGCTCTATTTGTAATATTTCCAGAATTTTGTGGTATGAATACTCCTATCATTGGGTTTCAATCTACCAAGGATTGTGGGATCACAAAATTCTTGAATATTTAACAACAGGCTCTGAGCTGGTAGGACTTGGCTTGGACATACTATAGAATGCAGTATGCTTCACCCTTGTTTTGACATGCATCTCCTATGATAAGAACATCCCCCCACATAACCAGAATACTATTATCGCAGATAGAAAAGTTCATAATAATTCTCTAATGTTATCTAATGTCTAGTCCATGTGCAAATTTCCCCAACTGGCTCCAAAGTGTCTTTATTAGCTTTTTAAATTCCAAACCATGATCAATCCTGGTTTACACACTGCATTCATTTGCCACGACACTTTAATCTTTCTTCTCTGCTATGACATTGCTATTTTAAAAGGACTAGGCTGTGCTGTACAATATTTTACATTCTGCATTTCTCCTATTGTTTCATTTAGTTTGTTACTCTATAAACTTTATTCAGCTAGGCTCAACTGAATATTTGATGGTGGCTTATATGGTATGTAACCCTACAATGAAGGGTAATTCAGAGTAGGACGAGAAAGTCCCCAGGAGGACATTACTGAAAGTTACTCGAGTTCTAAAAGCGGTAATTCCTCTCACCCAATGACTATTTTCCTTCCAGTTAATACCTAAATCTGCTCTCTCCACAGAGGTAAGCTCACAGGGCTTTGCATATCAAGGGAGCTGATAGATTCTATGTGTAAAATGTTCATTTCATGACTCACAAGTAATCTAATCCTTCATGAAAGGTATTGTTCCTTGAAGAGATCTGTAAACACTTTCACCAACTACATAAACTATTGGCTTAAAGAAAATCCTTTAGATATAATTAATAGACCTTAAATGAGATAATTTTTTACTATAAATTAGAATGGGCAATGGGTCTATCCTGACGACACGATTTTGTCCTTTGTAAATAAATATAACAAAAACACATTAAGCTGAGGATCCCAAACCTGGCTGACCATAAGCTTTACCTAGTGAATTTAAAAATGTAGCTGCCTAGGCCCCATTCCTGGAGACAGACTCAGTAAGTTCTAAAAAAAAAAAAAAAACAAAGACAAAGAAAAGCTTCTTAGGTCATTCCAATGATTAGCTGGATTTGGGAGTACCTCACTCGTATTTTGATTTACTTTATTTTAAAATAGTTGTGTTGGGTTTATATTGTTTCAGCCACATGTCCAACTAGCCATCTTTGCCATGACATAATTAAACTCAACAAGAATTTGTTGGGCACCTTTATCGCCTAGGTATACAGCAGGGGCTGGAGATACAGAGAGGAACATTGCCTCCCAAGACCACCTATAAGAGGGGCTGTTATAGGGCTATAGAACCAGAAAGGGTTAAATAGAACACAGGGGGATTGGACCTATGACTTTGTTTCTAAGAGCTGCAAGATAAAAGGTCACAATTAAAAACAATTTCTTCCACTTTTGTGTTCACCTACATTTTGACTAGGTAAAGACTAAATAAGGCATAGACAGAACTTTCTATATTAGAATGTGGCTAGAAGTGATAGTGTAGCCACACTGGCCCTTATGACTTGAAAAACAATTTAGCTGTAGAATAAATAACACAAGAAATACAAAAAAGTGAATTATTAGTCTCCGTTCTATTTCCTTGATAAAGCGCTTTAAGACACTAATATAATTAAATCTCTAATTAAGTCAACGGAATAATTGTCT